CGACTGCTTCAATGTTTCATCATTACAAACAATGCTGCCATGGACATCCTGGAGAATGTCGTCTTGGGCTCGGGTGCAAGTGTCTTTCCAGGGGTCATGGCAGAACACAGGGCATGTGTATTTCTGATTATGCAGATACTGCCAAACTGCCCTCCATGTGGCCCAGCCCCTTCCCCGCAGCCTTACTTGGCAAAGAGAGCTTTCAGGGCCATCAGCAGGCCGCAGGTGCCCAGGCCATTGGTGAATCGGATGCATCTATCAATTGCCGTGGAGGCCAGACCAAAGAGCTTGTTCACGGAGTGGCTCAGCTCTTGGACACAGTCGATCACTTCCCCGTGCTCCTGGGCAGGAAACACAGACAAACAAAAGCTGCATCAGACTAGAGAACATCTGACTAGACAACATCAAGGCAGCAGGAGACCTCCAAACTTCCATGAGGTCAAATCACTTAACAAAGGCATCAGAAACCAGAACTAGACTCTGAGAGAGCCTGACCCAGGGAGGGAGAAGGGGGACAGTAAAACCACAGAATTTAACTCCTCACAGAAAAGTACAATCTAGTTCATACTCTATTTCTCTATTTTCATACTCCTCTTTTTCTGTGATTATTAAGATGGCATCTCTCACTTTTGCTCTTGACCAAGGATTCAAACTCTCCACATCAGACACTCCCAGAGAAGGTAGAGGAAGGGAAATGATTCCTCCAGGGACAAGAACATAACTGAAGTGGTACAGACTTTCAAGGGACATCCCTAGAAAAATGGCAAGAGGCAAGTGATTTTAACCACTGTAAGATCAATTCTTGAAGGTCAATTACTCTCACGAAAACCTGAGATGACTTGATGATGACTTGAAAACAAAATAATGTTTGAAATGGAAATGACCTCAATTCCTCCTGGTGACCTGTGTGTTTCTCCCCCAGTGAACCTGCCCTGACAGCACTGTCCACGGGTGGTACGCTTCTGGGCCCAGTTGTGTATCTTCCTTAAAGGAAAGCCCACTCTAGTAACAAATTAACTGAATCAGGGGAGATAACCACCAGAATTTTATCAGGTATTTTAAACAGAAAATTGATAGCATCTCCATGGTCTCATTTTACATTTGGATTACAAGAGCCCATGAAGGCACCAAGAGCCCACTTTTTGCACACTTGATCCCACCTCATGCTTTCTCCAGTGCACCCCACCCCCAGTCCGTCATCAGACTTGGTCTCAACCCCAGCAAACAGAGAATGGAACTAAACGGCCACTGGCAGTGTGCTGACGTTACCAAGGGCACGGCACTCATCTGGATGAGGAGGTGGCTCTCTTCCATGTCACCATACTTCAGCTGGTAGGGTCTGTACGGAGCATACACGGCATCCACCAGCTCCATGACTTTCACCAGGTTGTGCTCATCTTTAGGAAATCAGAAATCAAAAACAGTAATCAACAAACAACCCAAAACTAAATGCTGGAGAACAGAGAGGTACTCTACTGGAACTTTTCTTGTGTTCCATCTTTAGGGGTGACTACATTTTCTTTATTGTTAGCACTGAATTATGTTCCCCAAAAAATAAGTGTCATAAATCCTACCCTGTATGCCTGTGCTTATAATCCCATTCAGGAATGTACTGTTTTTGTTAGATTAATGAGACAGGATTCATGTAGCGTGCATCTTGAGCCAGCCTCTTTTGAGATATAAAAGAGAACAAACAAGCCAGCAGAGATGGGGGAAGAGAGATGC